GCTTTGATGACCTTGCATTTCGTGCCCAGCTGCAGAAGAGCGTCAAAGAAAATGGTGGGGAGTATACAGGAGATTTGACCAAAGATGTGACCCACCTCATCGCTGTAAAGCCCGAAGGGAAAAAATATGAATATGGCATGCAATGGCAGAAAAAAGTTGTCAGTCTCAACTGGTACAAGGACACACTCGAAAGAGGCATGCAATTGGATGAGCGACTTTACCATCCTACTATTCCTGTATCTGAACAAGGCATCGGGGCATGGAATCGAAAAGCTCGGCGTTCTCCGCAACTTGGTAAACGGACGAGGGAAGACAATATTGGCCCAGAGCCCTCTCGGAAACTTCGAAGGACGGCGAGTGCCAGACTTGGAGGTCAAAGTCAAGATCTGTGGTCAGATATTGTGGGCGGTGCGGGATTTGAGGCCAAAAAGGTTGAGCGTCCGCAGTTGAAGCCTTCAATTTCTATGCCTGCTCTTCAAAAGTCTACCGGACCAGCAATTGCGACCTGCACTCTTCGAGCTGAACCCGCCGACCGTGGTCCCGATCTAGGCACAAAAACCGCGAGTTTGGGCTTCCTGGCCGGTCGTCTGTTCCTAGTGCAATGTTTCGACGAGATAAAGGTGTGTCACGCAAGTGTGCTTTTTTGTCATTCCCGCTTCCTGCTTACAAAATTCTAGAAGAATCACCTGCAAAAGATATTACTCGAGTACGGTGCAACAGTTACGAGGGAGGGAGGAGATGCAGATGAGAACAAGCCTGACAATATAATCTCCATTCTACCCCACGATATAGGCAAGAACAGTTCGATGCAAACAAGACTCGTTGAAGGCGGCGTTCAGGCAGTGTCGGAGCTCTGGCTGGAAAGATGCATGCTTGCAAAGTCTTTCATAGACCCGGGCAGATACCCGCTCGGGCAGATCCTCACTGGTCCTCTCTCGTGTTTGAAGGATATGACCATCAACGCAACCGGCTTTGATGGGCTGGAAGCCGTGCATATCGCGAAGATTGTCACCTTGCTGGGCGGGACTTACTCAGAGGTGTTTAATTCAGGAGTCTCAATCCTTATCTGCAAGGCTGGCAATGCCAAAAAGGACAAACTTGATCTAGCACAGCATTTGGTCATCCCTGCGGTCACCGAGGAATGGCTATGGTCAACAATCAAGAATCAGACCAAAGCAGGCGTTGAAAGCTATCTTTTCGCCCCAAGTCGAGCGCGCATCGGGTCCGAGAGATCAGCGCATAAGAGGAGCGCCGCGGAAGATTATGTTGAAGTGAGCACGATTCCTCTACAACGAAATACAGTCGACCACAGAGCGAACGGACCCTCCAAACCCGTCGGGATTGAAAAAGATCTTCGATCCATGGCAGAAAAACCGGCGAGGGAATCACATTCGTGTCTCAATGTCCACCAGGAACCAGCGGATGAGACACATGACCAAGGCCAAGAAGAACCGTTTGTCTCTAGTAACGCGAGTGGTGCTTCAGGACAAAGTGAGGCCAAAGCAGCCTTATATGGAGATGGCAACTGTGCGCTGCGGGTACTATCTCCCAATGGCAGAAACTTACGTTTGGTGGAGCCTAATCGACCGCTTATTCAGTCGTTAGACTGTACCTCGAGGATGGAAGATTCAACATCGAAAGAGAACATTCCAGTGCCAACCAAAGGCGATGCACGATCTGGAGTTCAAGGCAAACCCACAGATATTGCAGCAATCAATGGTGCCATTCGAGACATTCTGAACGAAAACTCTAAAAAGAAGTCTGGGGGAAGCAATCAAAATGAACCACTAAAGAAGAAGAGCCAGCTGTTTGGACGAGCGCTGAGCAACTTGTCCAACTCGTCAGCGGCTTCAAACTTAAGATGCTCCAGAGCCAGTTCGATTGACAGTATGAACACGGATGGAATTGGTAGCGAGATTGTCACCATGCAGTCCGTCGAGACACACAGCGGCGAAGGCACATGTACAGCTGAAAAAGGAGCCTTCAGCTTCACCGGTCGGGCAAAGCAGACTCTAGCTGCACTCAAATCAGCTCCCTTTGAGATGGACGATCCAGACATGCCAAGGACGGTAGTTTTCTCAGGCGAGCAGGATGCAGCACCACCCATGACGCAGCTAGGTTATGAAGACCCCGAAGAAGCAATCTTGTTGCGGGAGAAACTGGCGGCTTCGAGAAGAAAGGGATCGGGAAAGGAGGACCCAAGCAAAGGGGATGGAGAAGCTCCACCCTCGAGGCGACTGAAGACGGCGGAGCGTAAGATTCGAGACGATGACTTCCTTGCGAGTGTAAATGCCGGGTGGGGCGCTGGAAGACGGACCAGGCACAAGAATCGAAGCCCGCCGGATCAAGGGCTCGAGGAATTTTGAATACTTGATTCACGTTAGTCGGTATACTATGCGGTCTTTCGCAGAAATATGTGTGGTCGCTTTCTGGCCCTTTTGAACAATGAAAGAAGGGTCTCAACGTGATCTCATGTTTCATCCAAGAATTTCTCTCCAACACCGCGCATCTGACAGTTCACACCAGGGCATCGAAGCGGTGGGCTTTCGCGAGCAGACGACTAACAGGACGATCGACAGGAGAGTTGAGTCTCAGAGCCCAGATCGGGGCAAAGTCCTGTCTAGGTTGTATCATAAAGATGGACACCGCTTCCCGGCTTCGAAGCTTCCAAGATTCCTCTCGTACTGGGCGCTGGCTACCCGCTCCACTGATCGACCATGCGTCAGGGGATCTGGGGGGGCCGGAATACTTAGGGAAGATCTTCCCTTCCGTCATGGCTCAAACGTTTGTAATGAAGACCTGCACTGCTGACAGCAGTGGTTGAACTGAAATGACTGGTCACGAGTGCTGGCTGGAACTCATTGTCGTGAGCAGACACTGAGGCCAGACTTGTATAGGGAGAGGTGGGGGCGAGGGAAGTCAATTGCAGTCCGAGATCGACAGGCCAAACATGTCCAGATGATACTCAAGTGACCAGTGTGTGGAGTGAGTGAATCTGATGAGTTGACATGGAAGGGCTACCAGGGCTGGGGACCGGCCTTGGCGCCTACTTAGTACCTCGTCTGGCTAGTCACCCATTACATCATCCGTTGGTGCCGTCACCGCGTCACCTCCGCCCCGCTCGGTGACGCCCGCTGCTGTTGCCTCGCCCGCTAGAAGCCAGGAACCAGTGACTCGGGCGTGACAAAGAAGACAAGGAGCTGAGCGTGACAAGCCGCCAAGTTTCACCCCTGTCAGATTCCCTCCAACAGAACCGCCGTCACCGCCCTTTACTGTCAAGGTACTCCGTACTCCGTACTTTGCACAGACAAGTAGCTGTATTTCTCACCGGCCTTCTATCCCATTCTCCTCGAGGCAAAAATCCTCTCTGGCTATGCCGCAAACAATTTTATTCGACCTACGAGTACTCGGTCCTCGGTGCAGCAGGAATTCCTCACCTTCTCGGAAGACCTGGCAGTTGTCAGCCTGGTCTACAAGGAGACCCACTGTTCTGCCGGGTTCTTCGCTAGGGCTTGTTAGGCTTGTGTTTCAGGCGTTTCCTGTTTCCGCCTCCGTTCTTGATCTCGCGACGACTTTACCATCAGCCCGCCCAATCCCCACCCCCGTGTCTTCTCTTCAAACTGCATCCTCAGTCGCATTGCCGCATTTGTTCTTTCCAAGGCTGATCAACCCTAGCTCTCCCAAGCTCTCCGTCTCACCAGTCGGTGACCAGCACGGCCAGGATCTGAAAAACTTTGACGGACCTTGCTCGACCGCCCTATGTCACGGAATCACAGGCCAACCAGCTCCGACGTCTGCCATCCTGGTGACTCCATCCAACATTTGAGCGCCCTCCACCCGCCCACCCCTGCCGCCCTACAAAGAACCACAGCCGACTGAGCAAAGGAAGGGGAAAGGCGCCTCATTATACAAGATGGCTGACCTCGCCCGCGAGGAGGCTGATCGTTACTTCTCCCATCGAGACCACCCAACTTCCCATCCCGAGGACCGCGACGACAGAGACAACGACTCCGACCTCGACCTTGAGCCTGAACCTGCATTTGACAATCTCTCAGACCCTGGTACAGACGACGACACCGCCGGCAACATGGCGACCATGACCACCACAAAGACCACCTATCATCTACCTTCACAAGTTCATTATGCCAACACTGGGCCCAAAGGTGTCATTGCGGATGCACAATCCTTCGCCCGTGCCAAACAAACTACCTTCCGCCAACGACTGGCCAGCTTCGCAAACAACCTGACCTCAAGCGGCAAGCCGGCAGCAATCCCCACTGTCGCAGAAAAGGGTGACAAACGCAAAACCATCATCTCTGGGTCTCCCAAATCAACCACATCCTCCAACTCCGAGGCCAGTCTCACTCTCTCCGACGACGAGGCCGATTCAGAATTTATGAAAACCTGGCGAGCCACCCGTCTGCAAGAGCTCTCCTCCCAATCCCAATCCACCTACGGCTCCCACCGAAAACACCTCCCCAGCCAACGCACCTGGGGCATGTTCGTGGAAGTCGACGCGAATGGCTACCTGGACGCAATCGAAAAAGTCTCCAATGAGACGGTGGTCGTCGTCATGATATACGACCCTTCTTCCAGTGCCAGTGCTGAGGTGGAAGATGAGCTGAGTATGCTGGCCTACAAACATAATACTACTCGTTTCATCAAGTTGCACCACGAAATTGCGGAGATGGAGACTGTTGAGATCCCCGCTATCCTGGCTTACAAGGCTGGCGATGTGTTTGCTACGATACCCGGCGCAAAGGCAGAGGGTTTAGAAGGTGTTCTGATTAAGTGAGTAACTTGACATTCTTTTCCTTGGGGTGATCAAATGACTCGAACTAATCGCCATTACAATAGAAATCGTGTGCTCCAATGAGATTTCGACACCCAGCTTGTGAAAAGTATCTCATCCTTTTCCAACCATGTATTGATACGTAGATATGCCGATTTACCCCAGGTCCTGGTCACGCCCGGCAATGAAATAATGGACGACGCTCATCATGTCAAATATCCTCCGAAAACTCTCCCCCGAGCTGGACTCATTCTACGAACCCCCTTCTCTCACTGGGACGAACGTAAATCCCGTCTCTCAACCAGCTATCCGCCACTCTGAGTCCTCCTCTGCAATCTCCAGCAGTTATCTGTCGTCTCTCCTACATCCTGACGACACATATAAGCCTCTCGTCCCGCTACCGGACTTTTCTCTTTATTCATACACATACATCCGATCGTCCAGAAAATGCACAGCACTAGCCGTGACCGCAGCACTTGGAGAAGTGGGCAACACCACCAAACCGAGGAAGGAAAAGAAGGGATTTGAAAGTCAAAACCACGGGAGCCTGCTGAGTTGGGTTGGAACCACTTGCAATCTACACGGATACCAGCAATCCATACCTGGGGAATCTGGAGGGGTCGCCTTTCTCCTCCTCTTTATGTTTGGCCGTACAGAATAGACTTTGGGATAGTACTCTGGACGTGGGGGAAGGACTCGCGTTCTGGAAATGGGGAGACAATCTAACAATGAAAATAAAACAACATAACTGAAAAAGGTGCCCACATGCATGCAACCTATGCATTGACACATCTAAGTTTGCAAACCATGTCACATCATGTCATTGTATTCTTGTATTGCATTGTGGTACTCTGGGTCGTATTGATCTCTCATCTCAGGTTTCAGCTCAGCGAATCGATGTCCACCGAGTGCGCAAAAACCGTTGCTTGTATCATGCAGAGTATTTGCCTCGCTCCACATGTCTGTGTGGCTTCGTCTCTGCGCGCCTGTGTCTCTCTCTACAGACACTACCTAGGTATCTATTATAGGTAGCAGAGAGAAGACATACCGACCGGTAGGCAGACGGGTAGGTAGATAGGTAGGTAGGTAGGTAGGTAAGCTACGAATGGAATGCAGGATACCCGGCTACTCCGTACATATCTGGTAACTTGAAAGCAACAAAGTTGAAGGTTCATTCCTTTTCTCTTTCTGCTCTGGAGCCAACTTTGATGTTTTGTCCCTAGCTACCTAGTTTTCTGGCTATGTAATAGGGGACACATGAGACATGAGACAGGACGTGAGTCGTGAGGCGTGAGGCGTGAGATGGCGGAATCGTCCCCGACATAAGAGTACATCAGCACCCAACTCCGAATGTGCTGCAAGCTGCTATCGTGTTCATGTCATGTCATGCCATCCACCGGGATCCCGCCTTAAAGAGAGAGAAAAAGGAAATAGAAAATCAAGATCAAAGGCACCATTTTCATGAAAGACTCTCTTCCCTCCCTAGAAATGATGACAGGAATGCAGAAATGATTTGCTCGGGCTTGTTCCCAGATGCTTAGATGTGTGCGCTGGAAGGGATGCCATCATCAGAAGCAACAAATCATTGCATTAAAAAAAAAAAGGACCAGGCCGTATCATGCCTGAGTTGTTGAGAGATCTGATGGTACAGTGATCCAACCCTTTCGTTTCTCTGCTCTCTTGCCACGAAAAGACGCCGCGCTATCGAAGCTCAAGATCCAGAAAGAGTCAGATGGAAATGAGCATGAGGTGGCCAGCGAATGGGGGGAAACCATTCCAACTCGACTCATGCGCAGCAGATATTGTGTTCAACACTCTGGCTATGCAGAAGCCGAAATGGCGTTCTTCTCAGTGGTGAAGTCCCAGAGCATTTTGATGAGGTTCTCGGGAAGTGTGTACAGGTCGACGTGGAATTCTCCCTCTGTCGTAGAAACGAGCATCAGTAACCACACATGTTCCAGCCTTCCGCATAAGAAGGGGTAGGTTTGCACATACGCTCAGCATCGTTGCGCATCCACGAATCCTCACTCTTGTTGTCATGCACCATCTGCACAACTTGAAGAAGATCGTCTTCCCCGAGCTTCTGAAGCCCTTCGGCTAGCTTGTCCATGTCAATAGCTTTGTTGTCTGCTTTCTTCTTCTTCTGGGTTCCACCGATTTCGCTGGTTCTTTTTTTGCTCCCAGCCTCGGTGCCGTTCGCAGCCGACTCTCCGGGAATGGGACCCGAATTGCGAAGCGCCTCAAGGAGAGCACCCTTCGGGTTTTTGAAAGTGATAATCTGCTTAGTTTCGTAGCGCGCGTTGGCGAAGTTGAGATCGTGAACGATGCTGTGGACTTTGCCGCTGAGATCCTTCATCTCGATCCGCAGTTCGAATTCACCCCACCCATCTTCAGAGACGCGGAATGGTGGCTTCTTGAAGGCTGCTCAGGTTGTCAGTCGTCAGTCGCTTGACGCCGTATGCGAAAAGGAACATTTGTTAAACCAGTCTCACATACTTTGTGTCGCCTTGTCACCAAATGACTCGTGGAGAGTATATGTTACCGACTCGAACACATCTGCATCGATCTCCTGTTTAGTGTCCGCATGGAGCAGGAAAATCTTCATAGACCAATGTCGCAAGGGGAAACCAGCAACGCCGCTGTCGGCCCCGGGACTGCAAACACTATGTCAGATTGTGGACTTGTAAAACGAGGCAAGCGATATCAGGTGCTGAGGGGTCGGTCGCAGCAAGTTTAAACTATAGACATAGAGCGATGACGCGGGGGTGAGCGCAGGTCGGCGTTCAGATCGACGTACATGATCTTCTGTTCGGTAACGATTTTGACGCTGCGCTTGACCTGCGGAGACTGTCAGTCGCGACGCCATTTGTAAGAAGCATGACATTGAGACTTACGTCCGGCATGGTGGACGTTGCGGGATTGGGTTGAGCCTAGGGCAACAGAGAAATGGCGGGGTTTAGATCGACTGTGTCGCACCGATGAAAACGTGGTCTGAGGTGGGAATGGATAGGAAGTGGTGAACAGGTGAAGAGAACAGTCGATCCAAAGGTTGGCAGGGTGTCGATAGAGACCACTCTGTTGGACAACGGGGGTTAACCAGCGAAAGAAGAACAGGAGGCACAAGTCGTTTGTCGCACTTAGTGGAAAGATGCTTTACCGTTCTCCAGGTTGTATGAGTGGGTCGACACAGATGGACGCTGGTGGGCTGCACCAAGCTGCACCTATATAATATGTCAGAAAGGGCAACTTTGCCGACAATAGCACCGTATCAGGTTGGGATTGTCAGTTACCAAGTTTTCTTAATGTCCGAAGCGTGAAAGCCCTGGTGGCATCTTCACGTTTCCATTCATTCCTGTCAAGGCCGTGGACAGACTTCATTTCTATCTAAACTTGGGCGGTACGATGATATCAGAGTCCACGGCAAACCCTGAATCGCATCCACTCTTCCATATGCGCTGCTCTGCAAGACTTTGCTGGTAGTCGTAGATTCAATGCCGGACCAATCATCACACATCCCACGCTGGCTATTGCTTAATGCATCATGACTTCTGGAACAGAGATTCGTTCTCTTGTTGGGCCTTGATGAACGCTTCTTTGAAGAGATTCGCATCTGTAAAAGGTCAGTATTTGGACAGTGGCTGGCGCCGGGATATGCCATACTCTCGCTATTTCCAAATCGGATTGCGAGGGTCTGGGCCTCGGGCTCGCCTTCGCTGACATCTGCGGCGACGTTCCAGACCCAGCTGCGATCACTACCAACGTTCGGTGAAAGCTTCATGTCAGGGGTGACTAGATTTGTAAGTCAGCAAATAGCCATGTGACGACGACTATCTCGAACAGGTGGCAGCTTACCGTAGTGATTTGCGCAAACCTTGAGAGTCTTGTCTCGTCGCATAACCAGTCGTGTCTTGCCGTTTTCCTTGTGCTTGAGCAGTCGGACATCGCCAGTACCTCTCTCCTTCCACTCTTTTGAGTCGCGGTCGAACTTGAAGAGTTTGGCCCGCATCTTGAAGACCTGTTCCTCCATTTCCTCGTTGGTTTTGGTCTCGACCTTCTCGGTCAGTCGGACCACGGGTTCGAACTCGACATCTGCTTCTTCCTCGTCGGCTTTCTCCTGTTGCATCCACACGGTCAGTCCACGTCCATCCTGGCGGAGGGCATCTTACATCGTCTTCATCCTCCTTCTTCTGGGCTTTTGAACTGCCGCTAGGTTCATCCTTGGCATTGTCATCCTCTTCGACTTTGCGTTCTTTTTTAGCTCCACCACCAAACATAGAAAAGACAGAGTCCTTGACGCCAGTTGCGGCTGCGCCGGCGGTGCTCGCCGCAGTGCTGGCGGCTTTGGCAGCAGTCTCGGTGTAGGTGGTAGATTTAGTCTCGTGGGCATCATTTGCCGGGCCTTCAGACGAAGGATCACCCAGAGGATTCGTCACGAGATTAGTCTCCTGTTCGGCAGGTCTCAAGTCGGACGAGGCAGTTTGATCCGCCGAGGGCGTGGGTTTGGCATCAGCGGAATCGGCCATATTTGCGAGATATGCGCAGGATGGGATGGAGGATCTACAGCTGGCAGGACTCGAAAAGGGCAGATGCGATTTGGGTGATAGAAGTCTGTAGACTGGAGCGATTGTAGGTGTTTGTTGGCACCCCACACTAAAATATCAAACAGCCAGAGCGGCGCATGATTGAACATGCCAGGCCTTAGAATCGGCCACCAGCCCCTGCAAAACCCGGCGCCAAGACGAACCCCCTTAATGACGTCATCCTTCACCAGTGAAAGGAACTGCTTGGTTGTCACCGTGTGGTCAACGTGGTGTGAATCGCGTTTGCCTGTCAATACCACCGTCGCCGATATTCTGCGTTTCCTACACTGGTCTCTTGTGGCTCTCTTCCGTTCCTGCTGCTAAGGCGATGTTCAATCCCTCGCAAGGATGCCATTCCTAGAACTACCAGACGACGTTCTCCCCATCATCCTATCCTTCCTAGATCCAAAAGACTACCTCGCATTTTGCCGTGTTTCAAAGGTCGTTTACTCGAAATACCGACAAGATCCTCTGTACTGGAGACATGAAACCTCGAATACATTCCGCCTCCCAATTAGCCCTCTTCTCGCAGCTGACGGCCCTCGCTGGTATTGGCTATACAAACGGCTCAAGACCCAAACTCGACTTTACACCTGGGGTCAAGGATCGAAAGGGAGCTTAGGGCCAGGAAGAGCTCTCTCTGTGCCCCGCCGTCCGCCAACTCATGATCCGCCTCATCTTCCGCAAAGAGTCCTCCCTCGTGTCCCTACCCGTCCTCACCCAACCATACTTCCACGGCCATATCCTGGCAGAGGGTTCCCCCGTCAAGTCTTTCAGCGAACCTCATCCAGTTGGCCTACAGAAACTCACATTCCCGATGAGGTAGAAGTAATTGCTGACCTCCAATGTGGAGGTTGGTCGACTACCATTTTATCCTCTGATGGCAAGCTGTACACCACCGGTTCAATTGATTCCACGGACGGCAGGGTGGTAGGCGAATCTTCCGACCATTTCCGCCCACTCGAGTATTTGACCCAGAGCACCTCCGCCATTCGACAGTTTTCTGCCGGTCGCCGTCATGTTCTGGCTCTCACCGACGAGGGGAAAATTCTCTCCTGGGACAGAATCAATGCAAAAGGTCTGATGGTCTTCCCGAGAAACGGGACAGACTTCGGGGAGAAACCAGCCAGGGTTGCCGCAGGCTGGGGAGAGAGCTCCGCCTACGTACCAAGCATAGGCATCGTCTATTGGAGCCCCCTGCAAAACGACCAGTTAGACGAGATGCTGGATGGAAAGGTGGTCCACGAAAAGGTCGTTCCCGGAACCGCGAGACGCAGAACCGAGACTGGATACGTGGAAGTCCTCAAACACGTCGTTCTCGAAGAGTATGTCGTGTGGATAACAAACGAGTCCAAGGTCTACGCATGTGCCCTTCACGTTGACAATTCCGATCAACTAGAACCTACCCACTCTCCATTCGAACTCCCGGGTTTCGACGCACCAGATCGCGACTTGAGAGATATCCAAGGCCAATTCCACAGGTTTGGTGTGTTTACAGCAACAGGCGAAGTGCTTTCTGGTGACACGGCATACGTCAGACGTTGTGCTGAAGCCATTCGAGATCGGCCGGAACCACTATCATCGAGCGATTGGTCTACCATGACCACCTTGCTTGCCTCGAGGCCCCAGGACGTGCCTGCCATGCAGCACACTGGCGTCATTGCACTGGCATATGGTGACTACCACTATCACGCCCTGCACGCCGACGGCAGGATCACCTCATACGGTACAGACTCCCAAAGCTGTGGATCGCTAGGCCTTTCCGGCCCAGAGCATGGCGGTCGTTTCCGCGGCCTGCGTCGAGATAGGCCCGGCCTCCGGAGCGATGCTCAATTGCTACCCATCGCAAATGTCCGCGGTCGTCAAATTTGGTTTGAGCCTGAACGGAAGGATTGGCTGCAATGGATGGAAGACCAGCTGAGCCAACCATATCTCACCGTCAATGGTCAGCCAGCCCGCCATATCTGGGATATTGATCCGGTCAAACAAGCTGCATTCAGCGAGTGGGTTGAGCAGGAAGGCAAGCATTGGGAGGAGGGCCCTGCGAGCAGCGCAGATGCGGGGTCACGTGCCGACACAGTGGAAACTCCGTTGACAGGGGACTATGCAAATCTTGGATCCTACTTCCCAATTGCTATCGCAGCTGCGGGCTGGCACAGCGGAGCTTTGGTGCTGGTCGACGAGGATAAAGCCCACGAGGTACGAAGCAAATGGGTGACACAGAGGCACGAAAGCGACGAAGACAAGACCCGCTTAATGCCAGGTGCCTTCGAGAGCCTAGAACTCGACGAGGTGTATGTATGGAAGAGAGACGGATTCCCCAGGGTACGGTTACCGAATGGATTCGAAATGCCAGGCCAAGGTGAATTGAAGCCTTGGAGAGACGGAGTGCCGACTATGCAGGAGCTGGGATTTGAGTGACAGGCAATCTGTGAGAGTCATACTTGTACAAGGATCTCTCAGATCTCTGAAAACTACCCCCCTTGAGGTGCGAGCTGGCAATGGCCTCCGCAAGACATGAGCAGACGAGTTTATGAGCACCACGACGATATCCATGACCAAAAGGATGAATCATGCGTGGACTGGACTGCACTGGTCTCAACCCGCTGGTGCGCATGACTAGGAGGTTGAGAGGAAGCACAAAGAATTGAACATTATCAAGGGAAAAGCAGGCCGACGGGGCACAGATTTTGCAAAAGTGAAAGATATTGGTCACTCCTTTGCGTCTTCCTTTCCAGAAGTAATTTCCTGTTTTGTCCACGGTGCGCCCTGCCACCGAGATGTACCCCTTCCAAAGATGCAGCGCCAGTTACGCCTTCCGCTTGACTACAGCGACTTCTCCACCGGCATTGGCCTTTTCATAACAAGCTCATTGCTTTCTTCTGATGGATCATGACTGACAGCTGCTGTCGAGTGGCACCATCGAGTCTCATTCCCATTATTGCGACATTGGCTTCCTCAGCCGCTGCCATCGCGTTCAGCACCTGCTCCTGCCACATCTTTGGGCCTTATTTCTTGTCTCCCCATGCCTGTTTGGCTTCTTCAATCAGCTTGGGGTCAGAAATGGAATCCATGAAGCTCTCGAGCCCTCCTTTTAGCTTTCCTTTCCCTTCCCTTCTGGGCAAGGGTGCTTATGACGGGCCGAGAGCTGGGATCTGTCTGCGCTTTCGATCCTAGTAGGGCGATGTTGTCTTTGTCTCGAAGGTATGCGTCAAGACGCGCTGATCGTTCTATGCTCGCAGGGCTCAGTGGAGCCGTCATCCGCCTGGCGACAGTGAGCGACTTCTCCTGTGCTCTCATGCAGTCACATACTTTTCAACTCTGCCTTGCATATCAGCCATCGCCGAATTTCCAGCCTATTCCGAAGAAGCAGGTCCTAGTGTTTGAGTCGAGTTGACGCAGGTTTGGAACAGAAAGGGAGACCGAACGGCCACTGATCGAACAGCATTTCTAAAGTACGACAAGCGATACGTGGATATGGACCATTTCTCAGTGTCTGCGACGTCTGTATGTACCATTTGCATTCCGAGCCAAAGGTCCTTATGCCGGAGAGCCATTACTCCATATGGACCATTCAAGACCATTTGCCCAATTTGGCAGTCGCTCTATGGCCCTTTTTGTCATTAGGATAAATGAGGTTAGATTTGTGTCATTCAGAGTCCGCAACGACGACGTCTTTCATATTTCTCAACCATTCTCTGCAGGTCCTTCACCCCTGCACCAGATATTTTCAATTTAATGGCCCAAATCTCGATAGGGGGGGCATTCTGTTCCTGTTGATGAAGATTTGTCTTCTTCGACATGTCCTCCAAATCGGCAAGGCTGAGACGACTCGAGAGCCTCATAGCCGATCTAGACGCATCCCTGATCACGAATACGATTTGTATTGCGAAAAGATTTCAGGGCTTTATTTGAAAGAAAGGAGGTCTCGAGAAGAGGTTATCAACATCCTGGCAGAGGAAGACAAGTTCTTTTTTAAGGCAAGCTGTGATCTCTAATACTGCGCGTTGCTTGCTCATCCTCGTCCGAAAGTGGCACGATCTGTAACGGACGCACGAAAGCCCAAACAAATTAATCATATATCACAGAGATGGGGAATCAGGCGAAACATCAAATCGTCTGAAAAGGAGGATATACTGAGGTAGAAAGGACATCAGAAGATATGGAGCCTCGTAGAGCCCATCAGCCATCCCGCGTGTGAACGCACCGCGAAGTTGAGTGAGTCCGCATTGGAGCGCCAGAAGATCCATACGTCTTCTACCGGAGCCAAAGGTTGAATTTAATCCACCTCAATAAACTGACGCCATGCGCTGATTGAGTGAGATATTTTAGCTTACACCTCAGACGATTCTTTACAATATCGGTCTCACATCGACAGAGGCGACGCTTGGGACCTTGAGAGCTTCATTACTCCGACAGATATCAACAATAGTCGGGCAATCCTTGGAGCCTTTCTTGTTTCAGTGCTCCGACTGCGTTACAGGGATTGTCACCTCTTTCCCAGACCGGATTTACCCTTGATCGGGACTTTGGAACGCAGGGACCTAGTACCGAGATGTCGCCGTTTATCAATACACCAACCCCCTTTCTTGGTTTCGCCGAGTCGTGCTCAACAGCTTTCGTGTCACATGATGCTACCGGCAGAGCCTTGCCGTCTTTCAGTCTCCACTCGGCTCTGTAAGCCACTTAGCTACCTCCAACAACCTTGTCCACCCGCTTCTCAAAGAACAAAACAGCTCCAGCTGGGAAGAGGTGGTCTTCTGGAGGAATTTTGTCCTCTAAGGATGCCTTATCCCACGAGCCAATGATTCCACAATCGTCCTCGCAAACTTAGTTAACGAAAAACAATTCCAGTGTCAAAGGTCTTGCGCTAAGCCATGGATCTTGCAGCGACGTGGATCCAAGGACTATTGTCCGTCTCATTCTCGATCTCAGTTCGATATGCTCAGAATTCCTCGACTATGGACACTGGTGGCAACATAAATGGGTGTCTGGTACTCACTATTCATCCTGTTTGGCGAGGCTGTGCTCCGCGTTGAAAAGTGAACGGTTCCAAGCTGCGGTGGACCACGTTCTCTGCCGTTACTTCGAGGCGTCTGCTCAGATGATGAGGCAGGAAAAGCTGTGACGCTGTTCCAAAATACCAACAACACCTATTTCGCACCTTACAGTATTTTGCAGACATCAGCCTCAGCCGGCACGGCTTCTATCGAATTAAACAATATGTTCAGCAGAGGAGCAAGACGGAGAACCGTCATCGCTCGAGAAAGCGAAGAGTGTGACGCGGTTATCTTTCAATATGAAGAGCTGCCGATAACTCGAGTGGCAGGGAACTTTGCTTCAATTCGCTCATTATATATCTCATATCTTCCCCGCAAACGCAGAGGCACACAGGATATTTTGCTCACGTTACAGAGATCATTCAACATCCACCACCAATCTGGACTTTGCACAACCCTCAGAACATTCCATGTGATCCCGAGAGATTCCGAAGCAATTGAGCGTACGCGACGACAAGATGTTTCAGGGCTACAGCAGCTGTTTGATCTTCGACAAGCGTCACCGTTTGATGTGGGCTCTAATGGTTGCTCGCTGCTCTGGGTAAGTTGGCGTATATCGCACAATGATAAGCCACTGGAATTAACTGCACTTAGTATGCATTTATATACCGGTGCTTCGAGACGTTTCGTCTACTTTTGAATGTTGGCGCCAGCGTCGAGAATGTTTATCGGCATGAAGTGGTCCCCCGCAGCGTTTTACACAACATATACTATGTGAATCTGCAGCGGCCTCGACATATTCTCAACAGTGGCTCTAGGTTCTACCAATTGTAAGGATTTTAGTCCTTCCGAGGCTTTCGTGAAAATAACAGAGCTGGTGTGCGCTAAGAATCTGGACGTTGTGCCGTTCCGTGAATTCACCATGTTCGCCTTCCCTTTCTTGTATGATATCAATAGAACGGAGGATACACCACGCTTCAGGATCATAGTTGGGTGCTTGAAAGGTGTCATCGACCTTGAATACCCATCTTCTAAAGGACAAACACTACTCCTCTACACATCCATGGTGAACAGCATCATTCCCCTAAAGGCTATCTCAACCCGTGTCAACGCCCGAGCAATTGATATCTTCGGTCGAGGCGCAATTCACTCTGCTCTGTACATTGACGGCTCTGTTATTCGCCCCAATACATGTCGGAGATTTGAATGCGGTTCTCGCCACCAGTGTATCTGTCCATGTAAGCCGCATCCCCACGATGAACACTACGGGACGTCGTTCTGCCAGGGCGCCCACAGGGACAGCCTTGGCCTTGAACAGACTCTCGTGGTCTTACTCAACGCCAAATGCGCAAATCTCCACGACATGTACGGTCTCACGCCGAGCGACTACGCAAGAATAAACGAGGAGGCCTGGATGATATGGCAGTCGGCGCTCCAGGAGACGGGGTACGTCTATGATGAGGAGTCCGGCTTGTGCCACGAGACGTTTTTGGACATGTTCTGATTTCTTTTCCCGCCCTGATAATTTTCGAGGCAAGTCGTCAGTCACTGCTACCGCTTGCATATGCGTTTTCGGAGGCATTCGTGACATGCAAGGTGAAGGGAGGGGCCGAGAAGGAAAGGATTAAAGGACCGTGGTCATCGCAAGGGGAGTCAACGGCAATGATTGCCATCATCATGGGTTTTGATATTTTTTTTATATACTGCGTACGGCCTATGACCTATGGGGTTCTTCCTATGTTCCAACCCAGTCCAAACAATCAACCGGCCTGGCTGACTACCTTCACCGTTCACAACTCCTCGTAAAAAAAAATAAAACCCTTCACCACGAGAACGGGCTGGTCTTGGATGGTATACCAAACCAAGATCTGTGAGTGCGTCTCATCATGTATTTTCTTGTTCTCATTGTTGTCCTCTTTAAATCCAAGGCTGAGGTACGTGCCTGCGAGCGTACGTTGATGATATACATGGATGGTACTTGAACAGGAGTATATGAGCCAAGTAAAATTTCAATCTCAGCCTCCTAACCTTACATGCCTAGGATACATGCCTTCGCTCATACCCATGCCCATCGATGCTGTAGTCGTCGTAGTCGTTCCCTGCAGCAGCAGCGTTGGTAGAGAATGCTTCGCCCACTGCACCATCCTCTTCGTTCTGCGCCTCAACGCGAGAGTCGCCGTCGTGAAAGACCTCCTCTTTCTTCTCCTCCTGATCGATGAACAAAAAGCTGCCGACCACAATCCCGGCCCCGACCCAATATACCCAGCCCTCGTAGTGTCCCTGGAGGACCATTTCGCCGACCAAAGAAAGCGGGATCGTCAGGCTCAGCCCCACCGTCACCAGCAGAGGGGACGTCAGGACCATCGCGTATGCCCAGCACAGGTCCGAGCAAAAGCTCGCGCAGCTGTTGATGAGCAGGATCGTCCAGATTCTCCCTGAGGGAGGGAAAGAAAACGGTTCCTGACCTGTATAGTGTAAGACGGGAAAGAGCGGGAAGAGCAGGACGAGATTGCAGGTGCCGACCAGGCCGAAGAAAAGAGGCATGTTGAGCGATCGCGGCAGGGCTTTGATGGTCGTCTTCTTCAAGGTGATGGTGTACACACCGTAGATAATGGCGGAAAATAATGCAAAGGCATCCCCCAAGGCCAGTTCGGAGGGCGGTTTGTCCGGAAACGTGTCGACCCGCTTGGAGATCGATCCCCCCTCGGCGCGTAGCTGCGGTGGGGAGCCAGATACATCGCCGTCCGTCTTGGCCGAAAAGTCGACACTCGAGATCAAGATGATGCCCGCGAAGGACGCTAGGACACCACACAGTTTCCGCCACGTGAATTTCTCCGTGCCTGTCAACGCCCCTATAAAAAGCGTCCAGAAACTCGACGTCGATGTCAGAATCGTGGTGGATGCTACCGTGGTGTACTTCAAACACGCCATGGCAAAGTAATTGGCGCTGAACCAGAGAATGCAAAAGGCGAAAGCCAGCCTAGCCGTAGGGGTGATTCCCAATTGTTTGCCCTCTTCTTCCACGTTGTGATGTCCATGGCGATGAGTGCCCGCGGCGGAATTATTCCTGCTTGGTTTCTGAATGAACGTCTCGGACTCGCAGTCTTGCCCTTCTTCTTCTTCCCCTGGGTCTTGTGCACCGTCGATATTCGACAGTCGTCTATAGCCTTTCCTCCCAACTGCCCGCAACACGTACGCCCGGATAGTATCGTACAATTCCCCACGGTCTCTGTGCCGTTTATATGCGGTCCGGAGGAGTGTCGGGATCATGGCCAGCATGAAGGTGGAAGTGTTGAGATAAGTAAGAAAAAAGGGTTTGGCATACGTATTGTCAGCAAATATGCTCTGAACGCGTATGAGATTAGCACTATTGCCCCTGAGCTCAAGGACCACGTCCTGTGCATACACTACCGAGAAAATTGGACATGGTCCATAGGAAGACGACGCAGAGGAGAAGGATCAACCCCAGGGTGTGAGAGGCCAGACCGGCGAGGCGTCCACGGGCAACCTGCGCTCGAGGCCGGAGAAGCCTCTGCCTCGACGAGTTCCTCGATATGCCATTGTCCTCCATCTCAATGTGCTCTTCGTCTGAGGACTGAGATAGAGGGGGACGGACAGTCATGCTGTAGGCCCCTCGCACCCGACATTGCTTATTTAGAAGGAAATTCAGCTAGGGAAGGGCACCCGCGAGCGGCGCTGGCACCAGGGCTCGTGGGGTAGAACGAGAGTGCCGTAGTAATGATAGGATGGGTATTTTTCCTGTTCTTTCCAAAGTGCCGAACGATAAGTGGCTGAGAGCAGAAGTCAAAGCGAAGATAGGGGATAAACGAAACTGTATGTCATGGCGCAGGAACCGCCTCGCCGCCTCGTACCGCGGAAAGGCATGCCTCCTACGTAAGCGGCCATTTCCGTTTTCGTCGGAGCCAGCGAGACAGCCCAGGACGGCCTGGATGGCCTCACTAGAGAGGCATCCAAGGGACACCGAGTAATACCCAGTAATTGCAGCGACAACTCCCAGAGTCGGTTTGGCCACAAATGGATCTCATTTCAAAACGCAAAGCAACTCAATCGGTCATAATAGACGAGAGGCCGGAGTTCCTTGCTTGACCCATGATCCTACAGTCAGTCTACTTCTTCCCCCGGCTCCCGGAACGCCCATTCATTCCTTCTCGTCCCGGCCCCTCTTTCCAAGCCGTGACAGTGTCGCCAGCCCCTTCGAAAGACAAGATTTTGTGATCCCGCCATTCCTTTTACCGGACCTCTTCTGAAGAGTTCAAAGACGCACATATGTGTGACGCGATGCGGAGCCAGAGACTGGGCCCAGCTGGCACCGCCTGGGCATCGTCTAGTGCGGCGGCTGTCACGGCGTGGTCAGTTCTCGCTCGAGACGATGCCCGTCCTTTGAGCCAGAGGTTGTGATGCTATACCCCACGGAATTCGTCTCACATTTCTGCTTCACCGTTTATAGCCGCTCATCGTCGGGGTGTGAGCCATTCATTCGCCTCAGAGAAGAGCTTGGCCTCCTTAACGTCTGTGCCTGGCACTTGGCTGGCAGCATAAATCTAACAGCGGTTAGTATTAATGGTCCTAACTAGCGACATCAACTTGACTTACAGCGTCCCATACTTTCCAGGCTTGGTCGAGACTCTTAGTCAAATAACCACTACCTCGGAGCTGTCCAAACCAATTGAATTTCCCTTCTTGCTGCTTAATGCTGGTTTTCAGCGCATCGGTCGCCTCAGGTTCTTCGCTGACAGCGTCTAGATACGTCTTGACGGCAATTCCTAGCCCTGAACCGTTATCGCTAGAGAATGGTAACCTGAAACCGGATCAGTCGTGTTCTTCTTAGGGTCATCGACAAGGTTATTACACACCTTTGGGCTAGGGCAATCCAATCTTGACGGTCCCGGTCGACATCGCCGTTTAGGAACATGCTTGTCATGATCGTTTCTAACAGATCTCTGAGGATCGTCCGGACTGCTGAGATCTTCCATGCATAGGTCAATAGTTGCCGATCGAGAGGTCCAACAAATCCCATAGGCTTGTGTCGGATTCTACCCAGGCACGCAACTTTGGAAATGAGGTTTGTGTTGACCTTTCGGTCGTGGTCCTTGTCTACACGAGGATTAGCGACATCCGGGAGAAATAGAGGTCCAACCAACCAGTTTTCGCAACAGGGTCTCCTGAAGCAAAATTGCCAGTGAAGAGTCCCAGTCTCAACATCTCTACCCCAATGATGGTGCATTCCTCGTCGGCGATTGTCAACGCTGTTTCCAGAGCCTTTCCCCACGTGGTGAGGTTGTGCTGTTCGTCAACGTAGCGACGAACTTGCAGATACCGAAAGACTGTATTGACAGCTACCTCGTCTGCACTTCGCAGAGCCGGATATTCCAACTTGCCCAGGGTGATGGTCTTCTTCGAAAATGCCCCGTCTTTGAGCGACCGTAAACATGGCAAAAATAGACTGACATTCTGTTCAATGTCAGACGATGAGCAGCTGAAGAGTTCTGACACGTACCTCGCCTTTGCCGATGACAGAATCAATGTTGGTCCCTCGGACTCGCCACTGCGCCAGCTTCGGCTTCATGGCTGGGGTGTTTCTGATCTCGATTGTCAAGTTGCTTGTGTCTTGAGCAATCCATGGGTTGACTTTGATGACCCGGGATTGATAATAGTAATTGAGAGACTCTGCCAGGATCTTGAGCGCTTCGGTCCGGAAAGGATTGAGGAATTCTATCACTAATTTTCGGTAAGGTTCCGAATCGAAGACCCCTCCAGGAAGCGAAAGCACGATTTCGCCAGACGTGAGCCAGTTGGGTACCTGCGGGCCTAGCATGCCCTTGGAGATGTAGAAGAACAATTCCTCAGGAAGTCTTTGTCCAACAAACTCGTGGACGTCCCCTGGCGCGTCGTCGAAGTTTAGCGGAGCAACAACACCATTCTTTTCCATAATCACATGGTGCCTGATGGTCATGATTGCCTTCTTGTACCGGTCGGCATACTTCATACTCTGCACTTGAGGATTGTCGCGGTGGTAGTTGCAAAGCTGCATGACACTTTTGCCGGCCCCGTTAAGGAGGGTGATGGCATCTACAATGCCAGTCGATTTCGCCGTAGCCATGCTTTCAAGGATTGGGAAGGTGGGCGTGAAGGAGGTCCCAAGCAAGAGTTGAGCGTCTCGAAGCACGTCTTTGTGGACTTTCAGAATATCCTCGCACACACCCCGGCTGACCATGCTTAGGGTTGAGTCGTTGAGGTTGAAATCCGTCACCACCCTATCCACGCCAAAGAGAAAGCACTCGGTGCTGCCCATGACGGCATCGATGTATTGGTCTTCCAATTTCAGAAGATACGACAACTATTGCCCGGTTTAGCTTCCACCCAGTCCACCAGTTTCCCAGCCGTAGACTCACCTGTGCAGTGGCACTGTAGGGAGCGACCATGTATTGAACGTTATTGTCAAAGAGCAGCTTCTGAAGGGATCGCGTCATAATGTCGACGGGGTATTTGGCCTTTCCAAAGTCTGCCACCGTGCGCTTGCTGTCGCCGTTCATGTAGTGATGCCATGCTTCATCTTGTACCCTTCGGCTATCCGCCAGTTGTGAGTCGGGGAGGCTTTTGTTCACGTAGTCGAGGCCATTGAAGACGAACACCAAGGTGATGCCGTTCTGCCGCAGGAAGGCAATATCGTCCTCTATGGCTTTCTTAAAGACGAATGGCTGACCCCCAAGGGCATGCTTGAGAGGTTCTTCGTTGTTCCCGTTGAGGCGCAGGTTCAGGTAGTACGAGGCATCGACGCCGATGACGGCATCTCTCAGCATATGCAGCTGGCAAAGTTCGACATGTCTGCTGGCCCACTGGTCGAACTTCTGAACTGGTTGCAATGTGAGAAGAGAAATGGTCGAGGGTCAAGAGGATCCATACCTGACATCCTGGGCGGCTGGAAGAGAAGGAGAGGGCAGAACAGGCGAAAACTGAAGAGATTTAAAAATACGGAAACACAAAAGCAATCGTAGGGAAGGAATGAAATGAAGGAATGAATTAGTCGAAGAACAGGCGAAGACCAAGTCGCGCGTGTTGCAAATCGATCAGTAAAACGCAGGCGTTTGCGCTTTGGCGCAGGGAAACTTCGCAACTCGCAACTCTGTAACTTTTGGGATGCAGGCTGCGCGCTAACACAATTACTACTCGGGAACTCGGTACAAATAAGGCCTTCAACTGAGGATGGAACCCGACTGGTGCCCGCGGTGTCTACCACTCCGCCTAGTATCGCCCCCATGTTTAGGGGAGGTCATTCCCCGTAAGCTATATGCGCGATGGGCACAAGGCTGTACGAAGCTCCTTGTGGTCGGTTCATGACTTGGTCTTCAGGTGTTAACCCTTATACACAGATTCATCGACAGGAGAATTACACCGCCCTTCAGCAACAGAGGTCGAGAGCACATCGCCTCTCTATGCAGTGCTGTCAATCTCCTTGGTCTGCGCCCCTCTGAATCCATACGTCGCATTCAGACGAGACAAAAGATGGTCTTTCGCCGTCATTGCTCGTTTGCTGGTAGCTCCCCCTCCATATCCCACCTCCTTGTCTTCGTCCAGCTTGTACTGCTCTACCAGCTTGCTTGGCACAGGTGCCAACTCGACGTCGTCCCCGGGGTGTGAGAAATACGCTATTGAGTACCGATCCTCACCTCCCCTTCTGGCATCCTGGGGGAAGATAACTCGGTGGACCGTGCTTTTTAATATTCCGTTAGTCCAGTATGATAGCAAGTCCGCAATGTTGACGAGAACAGGCGGGAATGTCGTCGAGTGATATCCGTCAGGGATAACGGGAACAGGTGCCCAAGTGTCCTCTGGGGTTCTGATTTGTAGGCCTGGTTGTGACGGGCGCTGAAACAGCAAGGTGATGCTCCCGTAGTCGGAGTGGGCACCAGCTCTGACATCGACTTTCGGTTCATAGTCCACGTCAGCGGGGATGGCAGGATAGTGTAGCAGGCGGACAGTACATCCACTGGGTTGAGTGTGCCGTGATGAGAAGAAGTTGGGCTCTTCAACTTCGAGTCCCAGCCCCAGAAGATCTAGGACTCGATCGCAGACTTGCTTGCACGTCCTCTCAAACTCGGCCAGCTTATCAATATGGCTCTCGAGAAACTTGGGCATAGGCTGTTGTGGCTTTCCGTCCAGGAACTCCCCAATGTTAAATGCCTGCTTGAAGTCGCCTTTGCGCTGTGTCTTGGGGTCGAGGATCTCGCCATGCATTCCTGTCCAGCCACGATTCGTGTTGTCAATCCGGCAAAGCTCTTTTTCTGCTTCAGGCAGGGCAAAAAAATGGCGCGAAAATGCAAATTCGCGATCCACCATGCTCTCGCTGAAGCCCGTGCCATTGGTGTCGATGTAGAGGAAGCCGAATGTAGTAGCAGCCTCCAATACTTTCTTACCAACCTCAACAGTGAAATTTGATATGTTGATGACAGGCAGCTGTATGGCGCTGTTGCCTGCCCCAATAGATCCCATATTTGCTCTCGGTTAATTATGATCCTGCGGGAGGGCGTAAGGCTTAATGGGTTACAAGTAGAATATCTGACGGGTGACTGAAGTGAGCTACCGGCTGTGTACAGTATAATGCTCGATGAAAGTCCTTGTGTTCGAATCCAAACGTGGGAAGGGCGACTGGAGCTGAATCATTTGAAGATAATGCCATGCGCTTGCAGGAAAAAGACATGTTGATGGACAGTAGTGATAGAACCAGCCATGATATGTCTGGATCTGGCTGGCATCCATCGTCAAGCGGCGAGCTCCGAGAAGCTCTGGACTACGGTCGCACTTCTGGCTCGGCCAGGATCCTTGATCCAATATTGAGTCCAGTGAACACATTCTGACTCGGCGACAGCCAGCGACTTGGTCAATCACAAACTATTGTTGAATCATTTCCCTGATGGAGCGCTAACAACCTTGGAACTCTCGGAACCTGTCAGCCGACCGGGAGAGATAGACACGTTTTACGCAAAATCAGTCTGGTGTCGATACTTGATATCTCAGTGTTCATCATTTTGTGCACTACTCGATTCGTCATATTACACATTTGGTGTGTCAATAGCAATCTCTCTAGGACCAGCCGGTGCCCGACTCGACGAGAACAGCTCAAAGGCTCCAGCAATCCAAAATAACACTTCTGCTGCTCATCTTCGTTGTGGACCGGTCCATTTTTCGTGTCAATGCCTCGTCCTCTGCTACATTCATGGATGATATATACCCTCAAAGTCTTGCATACCTCGTTCAACAATATCGATTCGCTGTACATCAATCGTGCTGGGTGTTTTGCCAAAGGGTGAATGTGAAAACGATGCTGAAAGTCCATGCCTCGAAAAAATCGACAAACTCCACGACGCCGACGCCAACGACGCTCGGTCCAGATACTCCAGGGCTATGCAACTCCAAAAGGAAATTTATGCATTGGGCCTGCGATTGAGGTAGGCATTTTCCAGGTGGCACCAGTGCCGGTGCATGCTCCACGATTCCCGCTGGCATTCCTAGTCAAGGCAGTTAGCATCGCGTCACCACTAGCTTGAGATAAAATGACGTACTTTGCTGCAGTATTTGGTCCGGCGGCAGCGCCTACATTTGGCAAACTGGCGTGTGTACTCCTCCCATTTCCCACACTTGTAGTTGGCACACTGGCGAATCCCTCCCCGGGCGTCGTCCTTGCGGCATAAATTACGCATGACCACGCATGCCCAGTATTGCATGTCCTTCGAGTGGTGACGAACGGTGAACTTCTCAACCAGAGGAAAAATATTGTAGTCGTCAGGTTGCAGAAACTCTTCATCCTCGTCTTCAGTGGGTTCTGGAAGAGGTGCACAGCCTCGCATCGGCCCATAGATCTTCTCGACTTCTCGATCAATTCTGAGCCGGGGAACCAAATGAGTGGCTTGAAAGTAATGTCGAAGGTAACAGTATTTAGAGATATAAGCAAGTAATTGCAAGCCCATTAGAACATCCTCATCGCGGGGCATTAAGGCTGTGGTAGCAGTGGCAGTCGCGTTTCTCAGGAAGAAGTTTGGATAAGCGTTAAGGGGGATTGCAGGAGAAGCAGCAGTGGTAGGTGGAGGAGGAATAGGCGATACACCCATTGCCTCAAGAGCTCCAGGGCCCAAGGGATTGCCCATACCTGCGGTGATTGGCGTCTGCTGAGCAATGTCCACATTGTTGTCGATTTCTCGGGCCTGCTGTGGAGGGATAGCGAGTGTCAATGGTTGTCGGCCATCTATCTCGTGAGGATCATGAGGACTGGGATCCCGAGTTTGAACCCTGCTCCGACCTTCAGCTGGTCCCTCGGGATCCAAGAGTTCGTCGTCGGGACCAGGCACGTCATCCATGCCCATATCGTCGTTCTCTCCAGTAGAGTTCTGATGACGGATCGACGGCCTTCTCATGCGGCGACCAACGGGAGAGAGCAATCCGCGATGGAGTGGCGCAGATGGGGTAGTTGGTGAGTCGGGATGAGATGTGACACCTGTGTTCAGGGGTGGGAGCATAGAAGGCAGTCTATCCACCTCCCGAACAGGCCGCAAGGAAAACCCGTCGGAAGTATCCATTGAAGGCACTGCTGTAGCCGGTGGTTGCAGATTAAGGGACCTGTGGAAGGAGTTCCTGCTCTCGTGCGCACGGTTGTGATGGTGCAAATCACGCCGGGGAAAGACTGTCCGGTCGGGAGGAGAGGTGAAAACGCTTGGAGGCATGATGCTTCCTCCTTCTGCTGGGCCTGTTTCTGCGGTGCCAAAGCTTTGCGAGAAAGATTGTGGTAGATCAAGCGACGGCGGCGGAGCTTGACGACGATTGGAACGTTGGTCGGTGGCGGCGTGCAGGTGCTCAAAGAAGGACGTCCTTGCTGCGGGATCTTGTGTTAATTCCCTCGGCAGTTTGGAGGATTTGGGGCCCCCAGAATGTTTGGATCCGTTGCGTTTCTCCTGCTCGGCATCGGCCTTTGCCTTTTCCATTTCAATGACCAAGATGTAGTCCCACAAGATTGTCGCAATAACAGGTACCATATCTGCTTCCACAACACGCGTCCGTACATTCTCCGAGCCTCGAACACCAATATTTACGATGCATTGAAAAGCGAGATTCCATTTCCACATGTGCATTTCATCCTTGCTCCTGCCCTCCTTCAATATGCAGACAAGGCGCTCAACGCCGCCATCGACAGTAAGAATATCTCGAATACGCGCAGAAGAAGTCGTCAGGTACGCCAGGTGATTGAGGGAGTTTATGAGGGGGAGGGTCGAGGTGCAATCCAGGGCTCGGCGGTCGTAGAGGGTAGTGGTAATATGGACGGACGCCTTGTTGACATTGGGGATGCTGAAGTTGACTTCTCTCATGTTGGCCAGTGCTTTTCCACCATGCAATATGTTGATGTCTGTAGCTTGTGGTTGTGATGGGATAAATATATTTGTTCTGTTCTCACGGCGCAATGGGCGTACGAGCTGTGGCAACTTCCGTCACGCTCAGGGTGCTTGGGCCGAGCTGTCGTCAAGGGGGAGTCCGTCACCGGATGGAACCTTGGCTGGCTATCCACAGAGTATTAAAGGACCAGCAGCCATCAAGAGAAGGACAGAGACTGGCAGAGTTTGGTCTACCCGAGGGTCGATGACCAGTGAAGGGCGGAAAAGGGCACGAGCTGGTGGTCGGGGGTGGATGTTGGCAGCTAACAAATACAGAGGTCCGTTTGCTCAATGTTCTTGATGCTCAATGGCCGGGCAGAAGAGAACCGAACAGCGAGTATAGGGACGATTTGTAAAGAGTGTGGCGGCTGGATTTGAGGACGCGGAGTTCGCAATTCGGGAGGCGGAGGTGAGGCGAGGCGAGGCAGGGCAGGACTCGAGGGATCTGCCGCTCAGAGGATTGGCCCAGCTCTCGGGATGGAACAACTAAAAGCAGCCTGGCGAGGAGAAGCAGAGGCGGGCGACGCAGCAGATGGAACAGGAGAGATGGAAGGACGGTCGGTGATGATGGTGAGGATGGTAAGGATAGATGATGGAAGAGGAGGTGGTGAAGTGAAGTTTGGTAATGGTGGTTGTCTGGTGTCGATTTAGCGTGAGGGTTGCAAGGTTGCAAGGTGCAAGGTGTGAGAGCAGCGCAGCGCAGTTTGACTGCAGTGGCTTATCCTTGTTGGAGAGCACGTCCAGCTCGTCTCAGCGTCTCAGGCTCAACCTTCACCTGGCACCGTCGTCTCTTGGTTCAGTTCGTTTCTCGACACGCAGCAACCTTCAGACTAACCTCTCTCTAACCACTCTCCTGGGCCCGTATACAAACCCTAGTTATGTACATAAAGCCTGGGCATCCTTACTACCAGCCACCATGGGCTCGAACATGGCATGCCTCCTGTCCTCCCTCACGGTCTACTCCCCCCTGGCGTCCATGCTCAAGCATTAATTAGTGGCGAAGCCTTTCTGCCAAATGATGTTCCCCCGTCGCGCCGTTGTGCAGAAATCAACAGCTCATTCTGCTGATTTTGCGTGTCTCCACCGGCGCAATCTTGTGGGCAACCCTCGCCCTACTATGTAATTGGAGGCGCGCTTGACGATTGCCTACTTATTACCCAGTACTACTGTACGAGACTGGGCCCCTTCCAATGCCCAATTGCGATGGCCCCTTTCCTGGCAGGGATCTCTGACGATGGTACAAAGTCGGCATTTGGACTTTTTCCTTTCATCTGGCGAAGTCCATCATGCGCTGGTTGACGCTTACATCAACCTCAACAGCCTCGAAATTTATCGTCCGTGGCAGTCATATATTTGGTTGAGTAAGAAAAATGGTGTGATAAATAAGAGCCAGAACAATCTGGCTCTCGACGGTGTCTTTTCTCGACTTTCTCCCGGAAGCCACCAAACATCGAGCAATTAGTCAGACACACAAATCTCTGGTGTCTCTGCAGAGCCTTGATGCTATTGTGGCAACGGGTGCCCATGTCCAATCAAGTCAGCTCCGGAGATGGCTATACATACTACTGGCATGTTCTCCGTAGGCAAGCACCCCTGGCCGCATGACCCTTTTCTTCGTTTTTTGTTTTTCTTCTCGAATCGTTGCTTGATAACGTTTTCTGCCTTGCTGCCCGTGGAAAGAGAGGTCGCTGTGTGATCAGTGCTGCGAAAGACAGACTTTGGATTCTTAGACTTTTGGTATGTGCCCCAGGTCTGGACCTGATCTTCATGTTCTCGGCCTCCCGTCCTGGTGGGATCATCCCGCGGACTGGGTATTTGGTCTGTTTCTCCTTCCCTTGCTACACTTGGTTCCAGCCATCGGGATGTTTTTAAATGGATCCCTAAAAAAAATATGCGGAGTACAATCAAACACATCGCAAAACTTTTGGATATGACGTGGTCCAACAGAACGCACCTTTGATCTTAATAGGTCGAAATCATGGAACTCGCTTGAAGGCCTATTTTTGGCCCGCTGGTTGTTCTTTCGAAGCGGCTATTTGGCCAATCGCTGAAACCCTGCCTCTACCCATGTTAATGGTTTACGGGGTAGATCTTCTTCCAGATGTCGTTAACCACCTCAAGTGTTGCTATGTCCACAACCACCTTCAGATGGCAATGCCTGCTGCCGGCAGGCAACCTTACGGTTCTGCTATTTACAGTGCTGTTTCCCGTCTTCGTATAGACAATGCCTCGATCATGCACGCTCAAGGGATGCAAGTCTGGTCAAGGGCGCTTCGTCGACGTATCATTCTGTTCTTCGTGCAATCGATCTGTGCAGACCATGTCGTCGACCGTGATCGTTTCGTCAAGACCGGTTATCGACCTCTGCAAGTTGGTTGCACCCTCACAGACAACGAGGCTGAATACGAGGACCCTGCGAACCAGCGCAGGTTGAGAAGCGCCCCATCCAGCAACCCGCATCTGAACTTTCCAACCCCTTCCCCCTGCGTTGCTTGAGAAAAAGTATGATTTCTGTCTTCTACGTATGCGGAGAGACGACTCTTTATATGGTAGGCCCTTCTTACTCGCCGTATGGTTCAGGATGACCCAAGCGGCCGCATACCGGCACATGACTTCATTTGTCGACCCGGATTTCGCGGATATAAAGAAACCTCCGCAACGCTGCGGCAGTCGCGTACACTCGTCTTGAGCTTCTGGCAGGTATCGCCGGTTACCGTGTCTGACAGGGATGACCTACCTGGGTAGGTATTGTCAAGCACTGAGCAAGGGCAGAGCACATGTTTAGTGGCCCCATGGGTTCGTTTCTGCCATGAGAATGGAAGTGCTGCCGTCGACGGGAAGCCGCCGAGTGTTGAGGTGCTTTCCCCTTTTAGCGATAGCAAACCATGTCCTGGGAATATGGTGTCCGGAAAGAATGATTTCGTCGAAACTTCCTGTATCTGCTTGGTCATGTATGTACCTCGTCTTGTTTCACGCATGGGCACGGAGAGTACGTATCTCCTCGATCTAGCATAATGCGATCTTTGGCTTCAAGCATGGGCATCCAGGTATGAAGTCGGCGAGCGATACCTCAAAGAAATGCCTTATGTTTAAGCAAGGCTCAGAAGTTCGGATCTTAAATCTCGAATTTCAAATATCATACCTTGAATCAACACAACAACACAACAGCTCGAGATGGCCATACCTCGTGTTCTGTTGACGGGCGTCAATGGATTCATTGGAAGCCATCTCCTCTCTCTCTTCTTGGAAAAGTCATGCTTCGTGCAAGCCGTGGTCAGATCTGAAGCCAAAGCGAAGAGAGTCATGAACGACTTCCGCGACTTTGAAAGATCCAGCCTCGACTTCTCGGTAGTGCCCGACATCACAGCGCCAGGGGCTTTTGACCAGTACATCAAGAACGCCCAACCTCTCGACGTGATTATTCACGCTGCTTCCCCGTTCAACTATACCGAAGCCAAGACACCTTCCGATTTCATCAATTCATCAAGTCCATGTCGATGTTCGAGTAGGCCATCACGGAATCCTGAGGCCGTGGTACCCGTGCTAATTCTTCTATCCCTGCAGGACTTGTCGTTCGCGCATTACTAGGCTTCATTTGCTCCCGAGGTTGGGCGCCGTCGATTTCTCGTCACGCCGGGCAGCAATAGCAACCAGGAGACATGCGATATTTTGAGAAAGGAGTTTCCGGAGCTGGATGACAAGATCCCGCTCGGGCGTCCAGGTCAGCATGCCTTACCTGCAGGCTCTTTCAAGATCGACAATTCGTCGTCGCAAAAGGAGTTAGGTGTCACATATCAACCGTTTGAGACGACTGTCGCAGATACAGCGAGGGATCTGCTGGAGGTGGAAAAGACGCTGACTGCAAAGGCATAAGATGAGGATGATGTGGATGTAGCGAGGACTTTTATGCTATTGATGGTGGGTAGTGGTATTGTTATTGAGGTGAGAATTCCGAAATAGATGATGATACATACATCCCCAAAACTTCCTGTTGTACTCGGGATGCTTCGCTAGGCCAGTCTTCCTCGACTGCCAAAAGCGAGAGCTCCCCATCCAGCAATTAAGCACAGACCTCCCAAGGGGGTGACAGGACCTAACACCTTGAAACGCTGAGGATCCAGAACGAGCAGATAGATGCTACCACTAAACATAGTCATTCCAGCAGTGAAAAGTGCAGCAGCAACCTGTGAGACTGATTAAACGACACTCAGAAAGGCAAGAATCAAGCGAATATAACCTTGTTCTTTGGGGCAGCAGCCGCCGTTAGGAGAAGGACACCACTATGAATTAACTGCGCGGCAGAAACACAGTCAGAACGAGATCAGGAAAATTTCCATCGGTGTTCAATAAATTACCTGATAGTGAGCTGCGGTGGACCAGTTTGCTAGCCTTGTGGGATCGCTGATGTGTTTTTTCAGCCCATGAGCTCCAAACGCTCCAAATACAACGGAGGTTGCCCCATAAATACAGCCGACTGTCCAAAACATTGTAGAGAGTAATTTGTTAACCAAAAATAAAGAGGAAAAAGTAGAGCAGTATCGGAAAAGAGGAAATGGCCGGCCTTGGAAGTGGATGGCATAGACAGCGTGCCAGGAGCTGACACCACTTGCTCCCTAAGGCAACAGGTGCCGGAGACGGCTGTTTGCCATGTTTGCCATGTTTGCATCATTTGTATTGGAAAGACCAGCCGAGCTGGGCTATCCACTCTTTTGTTGTGATTAAGACTCAGGATCTCACAACGAACAAGAGCGATGTACAGGGTAGCTTACTGCCTGCTGCGCGGAATACGGAGTACTGGAACAGAGGTGTTAGCATCTGCTTTCCATGGTCAGGACTCGCTACATCAGCTGTCAGAAGAGCTGCCATCTGTAAGAGAGTCGCCTCCTTGCAGAATGAGGGGCTTATGTGCAGCAGCTTGGCTCTGTGGATGGGACTTTATTGATTCAAATTGCTCCCTTTTCTGTCCCCTTTTCTCTCAACGTTGTGGACTGCTGTAGGACTCTTGCAGCCCTTTTCTCACGGTCATGAAATTCATCATTGTTAGATTAGCGAAAACCACGTGTGGTTCATGATAGAGACGGAGGGATCAGCAAAGTGTACGGAGCACTGTAGATCCTCCAGATTAGGTGTCTGGGGCACCTGCATCGTTGAAAGGACCCTCGATCGAGTCGTCATGAATGCTATTATCCTAACAAACTCACGCAGGTATCAAGGCAGGCGTCGCAGGGTGGCAGCCATGAGAGTTGACAGGAACAAGCACGTAGTGGACGCAACGATAAGCCCGTGGGGATGATTCCCAGCCTAGTGCAGCTAGTGGACCGATAGTGGGTGGGAGGATCAGCGTCCAAGTGCCTGTGGTATGGAGAAAGACAACCAGGCTGAATGAGAGAGGGCTGCGAGCGGATTTGAAGGCGTGCCTCATCTCTGCCTCCTTGCTGCAGGAGCGGATACCAGGCGCAAAACGGGGGGATCGGGCGTTGCACCAACTTGTCTCTAGCACAGATTAGACGCGGCCGGGCAATTTCTCTTTTGCTCGAGTTGTTCTCGCTTCCCAATTTTGCTCCCTACTCTCAGGCGGGTTTCTGCATGTCGGATTGGCAATTCGTATCCCTGGGCTAAGCCCACCGAGAGCCCGGTGCGCCTCTTCGGAGCTTGAGGGCCACCCGGCAGTGTTCCCCCGGGGCCAGCTTGATGTCGAACTAACGCAACAATCGGGACCACAGTAAGAGCCAGTAGTAATTGAGAGGCAGCCAAGGGAGGTATTATCGTTCGCTAGGATCTCGTTTAGGAGAATTTGACGTGTTTTCCTCATATCTTTTTTGGCTGTGTGCTGCGTCCCTTGTCTGGTCTGGCACAGCTGCTGCATTATGGACCATCAAGGAGACTCGGAGGAGGGGGGTTTCTATTGAAGGAACGGTACGAGGTACATGCAGTGACAGCGACGATCTGTAACTTGTAGAACCGAAGATGGTGGGCACCTGACCCGAGGTTGGGTGATGGGATAGTGGTGATGGGTTGGCTGATGTTTGAAGATCGTGGAGTGTGTGTCCCTTGGTCACTGTAGCAGGACCCCAAGAGTCCAAGACCCCCTCCCTGCTGCCGGGACAGCTAAATCCCTGCCCATCAGTTCGCCAATTGAGACTGACCGCAGTAGGAAAAGAACAGGGGGGACCAACCCCCCGAACCAAAACGGTCCCCACTTGGAGTTTAACGAACCAGACACCAAGAAGCAACAGTCAAAGGCGCCCCCGAGCCCCAAGAAGCCAGACCCGGACCTTCCAACTCTGGCCTCCATTCCTTTTGCAACGCCTTCCCCCAAGACTGCCCTTTCAATTCTGTGACCCGACCTCACCACCACCACTACCAAGCCCTCGACTTCTGGCAACCTCGTCGACGACTTTCGCCGCTCTGCAGGCAATCAATTCCTTCGTCTCCTTTGAGAACTCCCAACCGACTTTACCTCTCGCCGTCGGTCCTCTCTGCACTCTCCCGCGATCCCGAACTCCCCAATCGCAGCTCTTGTGGCCCCCCAGTAATTTATCCAGCTCATCCCTGATATCTCGCTCGTTTGAGCTCCTGCGCTCGCCCATCGCCCACCGTGTCTCGACACTGAAAATACATCCATTCTGCTGTGCGCGTCGCTCTGGCGAGGCTGAGCTTCTAATCTGTGACTTACTTGCGAACTCCCACGTCCTCTGGTCCGACGCGGACCCCAATCGGCACAATGTCGACCGACTTGACAGGAGAGCAGATGCAGGCCAAAATCACAGCTGCGAGAAGAGAAGCAGAGGGCCTGAAAGACAGAATTAAGCGCAAGAAGGATGATTTGGCTGATACAAGCTGTAAGTCGATCGACAGCCCACCTCAAGATGCTTTGATGCGCAGCTATCTGCCAACCTCTTCAGGATTGCTAATCAATCGCGTCTCTGCAGTGCGACAAGTTGCCCTCAACAACACCGAAGCTCTACCTCGGATAGGCATGAAGCCTCGAAGAAATCTCAAGGGCCATCTTGCAAAGATCTATGCTATGCACTGGTCAACAGATCGCAGGCACCTGGTGTCCGCATCGCAGGATGGCAAGCTCATTATCTGGGATGCCTACACCACTAACAAGGTCCACGCCATTCCCCTTCGTTCCTCGTGGGTCATGACCTGCGCATACGCTCCTAGCGGGAATTACGTTGCTTGCGGTGGTCTCGACAACATTTGTTCAATTTACAACCTTTCTACAAGGGAAGGCCCCACGCGTGTGGCTCGCGAGCTCTCTGGTCACTCTGGATACCTGTCCTGCTGTCGTTTTGTCAATGACCGAAAAATCATTACCTCTTCTGGTGACATGACCTGTATGATGTGGGATATTGAGACGGGCTCCAAGGTCACCGAGTTCGCTGATCATTTGGGTGATGTGATGAGCATCAGCATAAACCCGACGAACGCCAACATTTTCGTGAGTGGCGCCTGCGACGCCTTTGCTAAATTGTGGGACGTTCGAACTGGAAAGGCCGTCCAAACATTTGCCGGACACGAATCTGATATTAACGCCATTCAATTTTTCCCTGATGGAAATGCTTTCGGAACTGGCTCAGACGATGCCTCCTGCAGGCTGTTCGACATTCGGGCAGATCGAGAACTAATGTCTTATCAGGTACCTCTTTGGCTCCCCATTAGCGTCTTGTTATTGTACATTGGCTGACATTGCGCACAGAATGAACAAGTGCTCTGCGGCATCACTTCCGTCGCTTTCTCGGTTTCTGGCCGACTTCTCTTCGCAGGGTACGATGACTTTGAATGCAAGGTGTGTGCAATCTGATATGCAATGTTTCTTTCACAACTGATGGTATTCCTAGGTCTGGGATACTTTGCGTGGTGATAAGGTCGGCTCTTTGAATGGCCACGAAAACCGAGTCAGTTGCCTTGGTGTTAGCAACGATGGAATCAGTTTATGTACTGGCTCATGGGATTCTCTAGTAAGCTACCCTTCAGTCTTTGGGCAATATGCAGAACTCAACTAACGCACCATTCTCAGCTCAAAATCTGGGCATGGTAGAAATGGCACAGGGAGAAGGATATACTTTGTTCCAACAGCGGCAATTTGACCAAATGTCATCTTCAAGGGGCGAGCACTATCAACAAAACCACCTTTTGTCAACGATCCTATCGACAGCTTCTGACGATTTCCTTTTCCTCGCTCCCGACTTGACTGTTGCACGAACCTGAAGACTCATTTGCTTTTCTCACCAACCCCTAAAAATCATTTACTGGATAGGTTTTTCTTGTGTGTGGGTTCTTCACAGGACTGGAGGAGCGATCGGGTGATTTGCTTATGTTGCCATCCGACGACATTGGGCCAGCCACAACGCGCATGTTGTTTCCAATCCACGACTCTTATGACCGGACATTGCTGCGGGTGGAGTTATTACTGTCTCCTGTTTCATGTCTAATCTTGACAAACACAATTTTCAAGCTCCTCTTGTTTTCCTCGCCACAACAGAAAATCAGCCTTGCTTGCAGATCCGGCGAGCGAACTGCAGCGCACCCCCCAAAAAGGGAAAACCCCCAAATTTGAAACCCGGATATCTGCGACCCCGTTCCATTATTCTTCTGCGTGTGGTGTCTTTATAAGATGAGATTGGGGAAGCCGGAACGAGTCATGTGGGAAGAGCGGAAGAGAGATACAAGTGTGAGGAGGGACGTTATAGAAATGCTGAAAAGGAATCAGCAATGGAGCACGCGACCATAAAAAGTTCTCAAGCCCAATGTTTTTGTGAATGCAAATTGATCACAGCGAGTTTCCAGGGATTGTTCAATTTGTAAGGGAACGGGGGAAGGAGGGAAGGGCAGGAGGAGTCTGTCCGTCCGTCTGTCTTGTCTGC